AGGCTCCCTCGACACCGTCGCGGGCGCGCGCTTCGGCCTGGGCGCGGCCGCAGGAGCGGGCCCCCGCGAGCGCGTGCCCTGCCCCTCTGCGCGGCCACGTGGGGGCCCCCCGTCGGCCGATGTGGTCGTCGCAGCGGATCGCCGGCGCAGCATCGGGCTCGAGGCGGATCGCGGGGCTGCCAGCTGCAGAGGACGTCCCTACGAAGCTCGTCTGGGCCACGAGCCCTGAGCTCGGGCGGCGCCGCAGGGACCCCCGGTGGAGGCCGTGGCACAGCGGCGTGCGAGGGGTGCGCCTCGCGCTGCAGCAAGCGCCCAGGCTGTCGCAGCTCTTCTTGGGGCCACGGGGCGGGCCGACAGAGAACAGCGGGCCAGGCAAGGGGCAAAAACGGGCAGGAGAGTTCCATGCAGGATCGGCGCTGGCATCCTTGGTCGAGAATTGGCCCTGTCTGGCTTCATCCCAGCGGTTCCGACTTCATCCGCCGCAATCTGGCTTCATCTAGCTCAATCTCGCGCAACCCGAGGGCCGAATCGGGCCTGACCTGGCTCAATGGCCTCCCAATCGGGCTTATTTCGCAGCTTCTCTAGCCTTTCTGACACAGACCTCCCAGGAGTTGCCTCCTAAGGATCGGGCCTGTCTAAATCGATATCGATTCGGATCGATCGGACCGAACTGGGCCATGCGTCTGTCGACTGGCACTCAGGATAGGGGCGACCGGAAAGGGACAGCCCCCGTCTCCGAGAATGGGACTGCCTTCAGGAGGCATGCGAAGTCATCCTGGCCCGCTGGCTCCCCCGTCCTCGTCCTCGGCCCCCCGCGGAGTTTTTCGGAAGTGTTCCCGCCTCGGGATGGTCGCCAGCAGCTGCGCCTGGCCGAGAGCTCATCGGAAGTGCCCGAGTCGTCTCGAACGGCCTCCAGAGGCCCGAGTCACGCCCCGAAAGTACCCCCCCTCGCGCTGCGAGACAAAGCCACGACCGAACGAAGGTTGTGGGCTACAGTGCCATTTTTTATACATGCTCCGCGTGCGGATCATGTATCAAAAATGCAGGGATTTAGTATTAAAAACAACGATGAGTTCATGCATAAACTCATTCATAAATTAGTCATGTATTGTAATCCAATATTTTTGAACATCCTATGTATTGAAAACTGCCCTGTACCATGTGCCCCCTGGGGGCCCGTGCTGGGCCCCAGGGCGGTGGAAACGCCGGGGGGAAAGGTCGATCCCAGAGATGGGAGCCGAGACCTCCAGTGGGTCCAGGGGCCCACGTTTCGGAAGTACCATTCCAGGGAAGCTGGCAACAGCTGTCGGGGCGAGCCCGTCCTCTCTTTCCAGCCCTGGCCCTGCTTCCCTCCAGTGTTTCCAGCCCTGGCGTCCTGATCCTAGCCGTTGCAGGCTTGGTTCAGCCCCTGCCAGTTGTTCCAGCCTGGGCCGCTTCCGCTTTTTTCGGAATGTCCAACCTTCACCTTTTCCCATGGTTTTGCACGTTGCAGTTCTGAGGGGATCGATGGGGGCGAGCCCGTTCTTGCCACCTCGCCTCCCAGGCAGGTTGGAGCGCCCGGAGATAATGACTTGCCAGTGTGCTTCCAGGCTCCGATGGATCGCCAAGGGAAGAGCGGGTCCTTAGGGAAACGGGTCCTGAGGTGTTCCGTCGTTTTGCTGCCCTCGGGGCCCTCCACGGGCCCCAGGGGTGTCAGAAAACGAATCAGGATGAAGAATTGGTCTTGGGGAAGGCCCCGGTCAAGCAGTGGCGAAGCGTCCTGGCGTGCCTATAGGCCTACCTCACAATTTTCTGAGGACCTTTTGTGGTTTCCACGAAATGTTCGTAGAACATGTCTGGCTGGGACCGTTTTGTTTTAACACATCGGGGGAATGTTCTCAGAACATTGTTGTTCTTAGTACATTTCTGAATTCTAAGAACATCTTGTGGTACACATTGTTCACATCTAGGTATTCGAAAGTTCTTTGATTTGGGGGGGCCAAGATCCTTTCATTTCTAATTGTTCTATCCTGGGCCTCTTCCTGGCCACTAGGGGGCCAGGAACGATCAGACACGAGCACGAGCAGAAACGAGCACGATCAGAAGTGAACGACGTGGAACGTTCTGAGAACCTTTGCTTTGCTTCTTGGAACACTTTTGGGAGGTTCTGAGAGCACGTCGTGGTGGGCCCGCAGGAGTGCCGGGGCGGCCGCTCCCTGCTCTCAACCCCGGGGCCCGGGACCCGCCTCCCGCGGGGCCCGTGCCTTGTCCTCCCCCCCCCCCTGGCATGGAGCGGAGCGCCCGCCGAGGAGGGCACCTGCGGCGTGCATCCCCGGGCGGGCCGAGAGAGCGCCCGAGTCGACTACACTCGGGTCCGGAAAAGAGGGGGGTGATGACTAGGGGGGGTGGGTATCATGGCGCGGGCCATGATATTTCCCCAGATGTCTTGGCGCCTCTTCTTATTTCATTACGTCCCTGGCCCCCCCGCTGGGCCGGGCACATGCCGCAGGTCATGATTTGCACCCCCCCCTCTTGGACACCCCCCTCTTGGCCGCTCCCGATACACGTAAGAGTGGCCTTTCGCCGGAGTGACCTTTGGTGCGGGCATAATATTGGTCCCCAGATCGCCGACCGCGATGCAGTAGCAGCGTCTTGCGCGCTCGTGTTCGGTCCCCCCTCGGCCCCCCCAAAGCCGCGCACCAAAGGTCACTCTTACCCAGGGTCGCTCTTGCGTGTTAGCCGACCGAGGGGCACCTCTCGGCGCCGCGCCCCCGCGGGAGGAGGCCGGGGACGTCACCGAGCGCGCCTCCACGGGAGCACGAAGAGCGGCATAAGCATAAGAGTTCGGAGGCCCGCGCGGGTTCCTCGGATCCGCGCTGGGCCCCCTTGGCGGCGCCTCCAGCGCCGCCCCTGGCGCGCTCCCGCGCGCCAGGGAGAGTTGGCGGCTCGCAGAGGGGGGCAGGGGGAGGGGGGAAGGCTTCTCAGAAGGAGGCTGCTTCTTAGAAGGCGCCGGCCTTACATTTGCAGACAAGGCCCGTGCGTTCTAAGAAGCAGGGGTGTTTCTAAGAAGCCTTCCCCCCTCCCCATACCCCCCTGTGCGCGCCGCCAAGAGGGGGTCCAGCGCCGATCCGAGAAATCCGCGCGGACCTCCGAGTTGTTTGTTCATGTCATTCTTCGTTCCCCGATTCCTCTACTCGCAAAGTGCCCACTCGCAGACGTCCCAACAAAAACACGGTTCCGCTTTGATGTAATGTATCGTAGATCCCCCGCGGGGGGCCCAGGCCATTTGCGAGTAGTTACTTGGCGAGTCGCGGAGCGCGCTCGTCGAGAGGAGGGGGGGGACGGAACAGGAGGGACCATAGAGCAGGGAGGGGCGAGGGAGGAGGGACCAGGATGAAGGACGGATCGCCACGGGGGAGGCGGGTCCTGAAGGAAACGGGCACTCGGGTTTGTCATCGTTCTGCTGCCCCTCGGGGCCCTCCACGGGCCCCGGGCGTGTCAGGAAACGGCTCCGGATGAAGCATTTGTCCTGGGGGAGGGCGCCGGGGTCCGGGACCCGTTTCCCTCAGGAACCGCCTCCCCCCATGCGAACCGAGGAGGAGCCGCCGTGGGCGCCGAAGACCCCTGCGCTTGCCCTGCGCAGCCGGGTTTCCGCCGCGGGGCCGCATGGCGACGGTCCCCCAGGCCTCCCCCCCCCCCCCAATCTCACCGAGCGCGTTCCACTGCTCGCAGAGTGCCTACTCGCAAGCGTCCGAAACCAAAAAAATACAGATGCTCGCCTCGTTGTGATGGATCGTAGGCCCCCCGCGCTGGATCCAGGCGATTGGGCGAGCAGTTGCTACGCGAGCAGTGGAGCGCGCTCGTCTACAGTCGGAGGGTAGAGAATCAGCAGCAGCTGGGTGGAGAAGGATGATGACCATACTACCCTCGTCAAAATTAACCTCAAAAATGGCGACCGCGCCACTGCGATGTCGGCGCGCCTTTCAATGCCGATAGACGCCCCTCCAATGTCGGGGCCAGGGCAAAAGTGGTCTGACCGGGAACGACTCGGAAGTCCGACGAGGACCTACATCGGAGGGGCGGCGCATACAAGTATACTTCGCAGTCACCGCTGCTCTGTCCAGTATCTCCCAACGAACAGTTCAGCCACGTACGGTAGAGGGAAACAATTAGTGAACTCCCCCCCTGCCCCCAAAACTCAAAGTTGGCACGCGGGGGGGAGACTGCGGCCGAGGTGCAACTCATCAGACCCACCGCCAACTTTGAACATTGGGGGAAGGGGGAGGCGTTCACAGATGAATGTGGCATGAGTGTTCGCTAATTTTTTCCGAAGCCTGTAACACATGTTTGAGGTTCGTGTTGGCGAGGGCTGCAGGAGGGGCTCGCGGGACGGCCCGGGGGTCCCTGCAGAGGCGTCGGAGGGAAAGTATGGGAAACTATGGGGAAGTGGGGGGGAAGACAAAAAGCCAGAACATATGGGAAGATATGGGGAATCGTTTCATTTGTGTGTACTTCTTTGTGTGTCCTGGGGCCCCATTCAGTGACACATGTTTGAGCTTCGTGTTGACGAGGGCTGCAGAAGAGGGGCCCGCGGGACGGCCTGTGGGGGCCCTCGCGGCGGAGCGGCGTCGGAGAGGGAGGCGCCGCTTTTCCGCGCACGGGAGGGCGTGCCTAATTGGCCCTGCGGGCGGGCGCAGGCGGGGGGGCCCCGGGCGGCGCTCACGGGCCCGCCAGGGCGGAGAGGGGCCCCGTTCGGATGCACATTGCTCGTTGTGCTCAGCGGCACGTCGGACACCAGCGAAAACGTTGGAGCGACAACTGAAGGCACGACTGAGCGGTGCACGCGGCCCGGCGTCGAGCTGGGGCAGACCCGTCTGCCATACGGGCCCTCTCTCTCTAATTCTTCGAAAGCTCTTTTTGATTTTTTGGGGGGCAGAGATCCGCTCATTCCTGCTTGTTCTGTCCTGGGCCTCTGCCTGGTCACTGGGGGGAACAATGAGAAGCGAGCACAGTGAGAAATGAACACGATTCGAAATGAACGACGTGTACAACTCCTGTGAGGTCAGATTCTGACTTCGTCGTGGTCCGAAATCCGGCTCAATCAGGTTCAATCCCGCTTCATCCGGCCGGATGCCGCTGGATTTGGTTCAATTCCGCTTATAATCCAGCGCAGGAGCCCTGCAATGGGACCATTGGCTTTTCCCCAGCATCAGCTCTTCATCCTGAGGTCGGAGCAGTTCGACTCAGAGGGTGAAATAGCCACCCCGCGTTCGCTTCCCGGCAAAACCGCGTCACATCATGCACCTCCTCGTCAAGCAGCTTGACCGTTGCGGACCACCCCGCGGGGTCGCTTGGTATAGTTTGGTTCCCGCTTGGAAGCGAGTGCCGAAAGCGAGGTAGGTTCGGGCGCTCCTTTTAGATAGAGTATGGGGCGCGAGAATACGATGGCCGATGATAGTCAGGGGGGCAGGCGTGGCATGCATCGTGTAGAACTCTGAGTGTGCTGCGGAGCCGTTTGGGAGGTCGAGATTTAGAATCAGAAAGCGCGAGGAGGCTTCAGTGCGGAATCTGGAGACTTGGGAATGGGCACCAACACCAATACAAGGGGGTTGCCTCCACCGGGGGAAGGTGAGCCTAGGTTTTGGTGTTGGTGGTAATCTTTCGGCCACCTAGGAAGCCCGAGTCCTACCACCATCACCGGGATCGTGATCGCCATCTCTCGGTGGAAGCACACCGCCGATACCTCGGCATCGCACGGACGTGTGCATTGTTTGTCGGCGTGGGCCATCGAGGAGCATCCTGGATCATCGAGCGAAAGAAGCACGCGCGACAGCGATAAGTGCACGGGGAATGGACGTCCGAGCGATGGCGAGATACTGGTGCTGGTGCCAACCTCCAGGCCTCCCAGGAACCGCACGGGCCGCCCCGGCCGACAACGCCTGGGTGCGCGGCGAGGCGCTCGACACCTGCTCGGCAGCGGTGCGCTCGGCAGCGGCGGCGGAGACGACAGGGCGGCGACGTCCCGGCCAGAAGCACCACACGCGGCCGGGATTGTTTGGTCAGCGTGTCGCTCCGCGGGCTTCGGGGACGGCCGAGAGGGGGGTGATGACTAGGGGGGGTGCACATCATGGCGTGGGCCATGATGCTTCCTCGGATGTCATGGCGCCTCTTCTGAACTCATTACGTCCCTGCCCCCCCCTGGGCCGCGCACGTGCCGCCGGCCATGAGTTGCGCCCCCCCCTCTTGGAGGCCAGCTGCGTCCTGGCCCCCCGAGCCTCCGCGTCCCCCAGCTCGTCGAGGCCCGCCGAGCCCCGCGGAGCGGAGCGGCGCGCTGCCCGCCTGCAGGGCACAGCACGTCGCCGGGGCCGCTGCCGCGGCACGCGGGGCAGCATGCGTGGACCGCGTGAGCCTCGCCAGCATCATCCTGGTTTCGCCTCCTCCTCCTCTTCCTCCTCCTCCTCCTCCTTCCCCAACACATTTGGGGAAACGCGAGTGGATGTGATGGGGGGCCTTAGGTCTGGCGCTTGTCACAGTGCGAGCTCAGCTCACGGATGCTGTCGGGGGGGGGCGTCGGATTTCGGGCGCCCCCGCGCGCACGTCAGAGATCGGGTGCCGTCCAGGGAGTGGCGCTGTCCTTACGAGCGCCCGCTTAGGGCGTCGTGGGTTTAATCTTGCGTCGGGTTGCAGGAGGCGTTTCCCAGGAAGTTCGGTGAATGTGTCGTTGCTGGCTTGGGCGAAAGCGGAATACACATGTGGCCGAATGTCTTTTCAGCGCTTGGGCGTTTGGCCCTCGCATGTCAAGGTAGGTCGTGCTTCCGATTATGCACCCAGGGCATAGCCTCCGCATGTCCCACACGTGAACCCAGCCGCGTGTGTGTGTGTGTATGTGTGAGTGTGTGTGTGTGTGAGAGTGTGTGTGTGTGTGTGCGTGTGCGCGTGTGCGTGTGCGTGTGCGTGTGCGTGTGCGTGTGCGTGTGTGTGTGTGTGTGTGTGTGTGTGTGTGTGTGTGTGTGTGTGTGTGTGTGTGTGTGTGTGTGTGTGTGTGTGTGTGTGTGTGTGTGTGGTGTGTGTTGTGTGTGTGTGTGTGTGTGTGTGGTGTGTGTGTGTGTGTGTGTGTGGTGGTGTGTGTGTGTGTGTGTGTGTGTGTGTGTGTGTGTGTGTGTGTGTGTGTGTGTGTGTGTGTGTGTGTGTGTGTGTGTGTGTGTGTGTGTGTGTGTGTGTGTGTGTGTGTGTGTGTGTGTGTGTGTGTGTGTGTGTGTGTGTGCGCTTCTTGGTAAGTCTTGCGAGCTCTGGGCGCTCTGGCATTCCCAAAGTCAGGTGTTCGGTTGTGGACTCCTTCTCTAAAATGCAACAATCTAGCTATCACGGCGGGAACCATTGAAGAACCCCTTCTGTTCAGCGCGACCATCCAGCTATCGCGGGGAAACCCGGCCAATGTCGATGGGCAACAAGGGGATCACGGCCGAACGCGTGGAGGAAGGACGGGCCCGTTGAGGATGGAATAATAATAATTATAATAATAATGATGGAAGAGGAAGGCGGACGGAGGAGGAGGGCGGGAAGGCGGACGGAGGAGGGCGGGAAGAATAAGAGGACAGAGGACGGAAGAAAATGATGAATAAGAAGAAGCATACATATAGGAATACGGTGAATTGAATGAATCATAGTAAGAAGACTGATGACAATGGCATTAACAAGGTATGATGACGGAGGACGGAGGAGGAGGGTTGGAAGGTGGGGGATGGAGGAAGGAGGAGGGCTGGAAGAAGAAGAGGACGGAGGATGGAATAAAGGATGAAAAAGAAGAAAAAGAAGGGACGAATGACATGAATAAGATACATAATAATCAGATGAAGAATTGAAAATGAAACATAATATGAAGAATATGCAGAATAAGAAAAAGAACGAGAAGAAGGGACCCGGGAGGACGAGGGGGCAGGCGTCGCCGTCGCGCCCGGGTAGGAGCCCACGCAGAGCGCCCGCCAGAAGCCGGGGGCGCTCCCGCGGCGAGGGCGCTGCAGTCGGCCCGCCCGCCCCCCCCCCCTCGTGCGTCCTTCTGCGCAGACGAGACCCTCAGGGGCAGCATTAGTGGGGAGGGTTCGGAGGAATGCATCCATGTCGCCTCCCCCGGGGACTCCCGGGAGGCCCTCGTCGCCATTGCTGGGCTCGCCTCGGAGTCCTGGTCAGAAAGCGCCCGGGAGAGGTCCGGGGAGCAGCGGTATCGGTATTTGTCGGTTCCCCCACTTCAGGGGCAGCATTAGGGGGGGGGGGCTGAGGTGGGGACGCATCGGCTCCCCATCGCCGCCCATGGATCGCTGAGAGGGCCTGATAGATAGCCCACCCCGCCCAGGAACGTGCGGCTTTGCTGTCGGGGTCCCATCGCCGCTCGATCGGCGATGTGTCGCGGATTCCAGGTCGATGCTACTTCCTCCCTGAGCGGCCCCCGCCCAGGAACGTGCAGATTTGCAGCCTGGGTCCTAGCGCCCCACGATCGGCGATGTATTGCTGATTCTAGGTCGACGTTTCCCCTCCCTGAGCCGGTTCCACCATGGCTTCCGGATCATAACTCGGGCCTTCGGCGGCCGTTCGGGACGATCCCGGACCCCTCGGAACGCTCTCGGCGAGGCGCAGGAAGGCATCCCGAGACTGGAAAGGAGGAGGAGGATGAGGAGGAGGCGGAGGAGGAGGAGGAGGAGGATGGGGGGGGAGGAGGAGGAGGAGGAGAAGGAGGAGGAGGAGGAGGAGGAGGAGGAGGAAGAAGAGGAGGAGGAGGAGGAGAAGGAGAAGCTGAAGGAGGAGGGGGGATCACCGCGGGAGGTTGTTTTGCAATTCTCAGCCCCTGGCGGCCGTTGCCAGGCCCAGGGGCCGCTTCAAAGCTACCGAGGATGAGAATAGCCAAACGAAAGATAAACGTCAGCACCGCCCCGAGCCCCGGCTCGACGGTCCTCCAGGGGACACTGCAAACTGAATGATTACGCCGCGTCGTCCATCTCGCACATGAAACTTTCCCATCCCAGCCAGGCCTGCCTTGACCCTCCCCCGCGCTCTCAAATCGCACCGCGCGCGCACACCCGTGTGCCTCAATCTGCCCCTCTGAAGCTGTTTCGGCGGCTTCAAAAAAAAAACAAGTCCACGCGCGCACGTGTGGACAGAATCCGGCATACCATACTTTTGCCAGCGAGGCAACATGGTGTCTTAAAACACCCACTATGATGTTCACCAAGAGCGTGTGGCATGTCTGCCCGCGCGCACTCGCTGGCATCGCTGGGTTAGCCAGTCTGCAAGATCGTCCAGCATCCGCGCTGTCATGCCGCCACGTGGTGCATCTGCGCTGATCTAGCACGTGATCAGTGCACGAACCCGTGTCAAGCAATCCCATGCTGGCCACACGCCCGCGCCGCCACGCGCGCGTGCCTGCACCTCGTTGAGGCCTTTGGCGTTCGCAGCGTCGCCACGCGGAGTGAATCACAAGACAGGTGAACAGCCACGCGTCGTTTAAGAATTATTGTCTGCCAGATTGTGTGGGTGACTGCGCGCGCACTTTTCCACGATCGCCCGTACCAGCGCCATCGCAATCGCCGGCAGCGCCGCCATCATCAGTACAGCCACCTTCAGCACCGACACATGGACATCATCATTATCATCATCATTCTCATCATCATCCTCCTCCTCCTCATCATCATCATCAGCACTGCTGCGGCAATCCTTGGCACGGTGCTCTCGGCGACGATGAAACAGTAGCTCGCGCTCCCCGTCTTCTTCGGGGGTTTTGCCTTGAACATGCCTCGCGTCGACGACGCCGCAGCCGGCTTCTGGAGCAGCTAGATTGCAACCGTATTTGATGCTCAGCGCGTCGCCTTGCTGGCAGGGCTGCCTTTCCAGGTGGACCCGGACTGGCCCGCCGCGCTCGAGGCGAAGGACGTGCTCGCCGCGAGCGGCGTGGTGGTGGGCGCCGGCCAGATCGAGCTGGAGCCGGGGGCGGCGGCCAGGTACGCCGCGCCTCCATGGAGAGGGGACCTTGCCCGTCCAGGAGCTGCTCACCTTTGCCCACGTCGCAGAGGATGCGCGGGCGCATGCCCTGGACTCCCACCGCTCCGTCCTCGCCACTTCCGTTCCGGGGGCCGACGTCGGGGACGTGGAGAGGGGCGGGGGCAGACGCCGGCTCGCGGAGAGGCTGGGCCGCGGGCTGGCGGCGCGGCGGGCCGCCGACCTCGCAGCCGCGCTGCCGCATGAGCGCGCCGCCAGCCTGCTGGACCGAGGCGGCAGAGGAGCAGGCCTCTGGTGGTCAGCGGCGCCGGCTGCCTCGACAGCGCGGGCTGGCAGCAGTCATTGGCTGCCAGCCGCGAGGAGACGCCTGGGGGCACCTGTCCTGGAGCCCGGGCGTGCGCTCACTGCCACAGCGGTGGCCCGAGGCGTGGGCAACCCTGCGGGCGACGGTTGGACACCCAGTGACTGGCGTGCATGCGGCCCGTTGCTTCCTGGTGCGGTGGCATAACGACATCAAGATCACAGTCGCCGAGGCGCTCCGCTGGGCCGGCGCGATCGTCGAATTCGAGTCGCACATCCCGGAGCTCTACCAGACGGACCGCGACGGCGGCGTCAAGGAGGCGATCTTGGACGTCAGCTGGAGGTGGCTGGCTGGCGGGACGTGGACGTTGCTCGTTGTCACGGTGCACTCCTACCCGGACGGCGAGGCTCGAGCGGCAGCCGCGGACGTGCACTTGGCGGCTCGCGCCGCGGAGCGGGCCAAGCGCAAGCGGTATTGCGATCGCGTCGCGGCCTTCGCAGTGGGCATCGGCGGCCGCCTGGGGGAGGATGCCGTGGCCATCCTTCGCCAGATTGACGTGGATGCGGCCAAGCACGCGTGGGTGACGCGGGGCCTGCCGGCGCCGCCCCCGAGCCGGGCGATGCTGGCGGCCATCAGCGCTGCCGCGCCGCAGGAGGAAGAGGAGGGCTGAGGTGGTCTGGCTGGATCGCGTATAGCAATGTTGGGCGTCGACTCGCACTGGACCGTAGAGGGGGGGTCGTATCATCATCACCGCCATCATCATCAGCATCATCATCATCACCGTCACTCGCATCATCAGCAGCATCATCGTGGTGGTGGTGGTGGTTGTCGTCGTGGCCAGCACCGGCTTCGGCTATGGCATTGGTCTCGCCGTCGTCATCGTCATCATCGCCGCCACCACCACCGCTACTACTATTATCGTTGTCGCCCTTGCCAACGTCATTGTCATACCGCGCCCGTCGGATTTACCGACCCCCCTGAAGTGCCCGCACGCCAGCGTTGCCCTTGAGACGCGCTGGTGGTCTCCCAAAAATAAGGCCCATCGCGGCCGCGTCAGTTGTGCCAAGCAAGGCTGACCGTCCTGCGCGGGAACGTGGGTGCGCCAGCGTGGTCGTACAGTCGCGCTGGCAAGTTACACTCGGCAGCAGTCCTTGTGGGTGCATGGAGTTTGCAGATCAAGTCGCGGGTGGGAGGGTGGGACGTGTGCGCAACCATTGGGTTGACGACCTCAAGTTCAGAAATGTGGCTTGCACCGCTTAGTTTGCACTTCCTTGCCTCACGCCGTATAGCTTACACGACACATTCACACACACACGCACACACGCACACACACACACACACACACTCTCTCTCACACACACACTTGGCACCGCGCAAACTTCACGTCAGCGATGCAGTTCATTGCTTGGGGCCCACTTTGGCTCGGAGGTTGATAGACCTCCTACCCTGACGCGTCGATTACCGAGTTGGCCGTTTCCGGTTCGCGAGAGGGCGTCGCGGCCGTCATTGATGCGGGTCCACTCCGTCGGTTTCGGTCCGAAGCCGTTTTCACTACATGGTGGTTAACTAAAGGGAGGTCTGTCCACCGCCGATTGGCACACATTGTGCTGTCAAGGCTTCAGAAGAAGTAAACAGATTCGTGTTGTTTGTAATTCCAGAATTTCCGAGGTCTCGAGTGACGGGCCTTGGCTTGAAGGGTCCAGTATACCCTATTCGTGCACGCCGCCGGAACAACCACACATATCCCCAGAGGCCAGCGAACAGACAAACTTAACAACCACCGCCCACGCTGCAGGCACGCCGCACGGCGGATTGACAGATCTCTGGGTTGGCAGCCAACTTTAATTTTGCAATCAGAGTTGGTGCCCCAACTATAGCAGGGAAGAGACAGGGAGTGAGCAGGAGTAGTTCGACCAAAGGAATCTGAAGATGGGGGAGGTAGACAGCCAATGAGGACGAGGGGGTGCGGACAAGAGGAAACCCAGCACGCGCCACTGATGCGGCAGAATGCAATCCCGTCCCAACGCCTGTCCTCGTCAGAGTGAAGGATCCGAGAAATCTTACGCTTTCCTTGGGCGCGTGGCGGAAAGAGACGGGAGGGGGGACGGAGGACGTTGTTGCATCCTTGCCTTTTGATTCTTGTTGTCCCAAAACCATATTTGCAGTCATGGGGTTATTGCTTACGTTGTTCAATGATTGTGTGTTCGCCCTGTACATGTTTAGCGCGGCCAGCCCCACCGATCTCCACCGATTACGCGCAGCTTGTGACGGCCCCCATTGCGCCGCTTGCGTCGCACTCAAAGGACTTCGGTGGACAAGCGCACGTCAGCATTGACGCACGTCCCCAGGACCACCAGATCGAACCCGTTCGGCTCGCCCGCTCAGCGGCCGAACGGGCTCGGGCGCCGACCAGGTTTAGGTGGGACCCCCCATGGTCGGCTGGGTGCCCTGGTCCCAGGCTGCCTCCGTCTGGAGCATCGAGAGCCCCGAGAAGAGTCCAGAGTGGTTGGTGTGGTTCGCAAGCTGCAGAGCGCGACGTGAGTCGTTAAGGGTGTGTCCCTCGTGGCGCTCGCCAGCGCCGCGCAGCGCTTCGCGCTCGACATGCGGCCCTCGCGGGCTCTCGCGGGTCGTCGTGCCGCGCCTCCCGCGCGGCCAGGTGCCCGCCTGGGCCGCCTGGTGCGCCATTCCCGTCTCGGGTGGTGGGGCGGCTGGGGGGGGCCTTTGACGGCAGTGACAGGTGAGGACTGGCTCAGAGGTGGGAAGCATCGACCCCGAATCGCCCATTCCTCGCAGGATCGGGGCCCGAGCGCCCCATCCTGCCCAGGGGCATGCGGTTCTGCTGTCGGCGCCGTGGTCCTCCTCGCTCTCTCCCCGTTCCTCTTCCAGCCTCTATCGTCCCCCTCCCCGCCTCCCTACATCCTCGAGAGGGGGGGGGCACGATTTGTCCGCTTTGTCATGTCTTGCACATGCATGCTCATGTTAAGCGTCGCTTCACACTTCGCGTTCCGCGTCCGCTGCTGTTTCCTGGGGGCGAAACTCGCCATATTTGAACAAGCCCCGAAGCTGGAAGCGTTGTGACTCTCAGTGCAAATCGCCCCCTCCCCCCTCCCGCGCCTCGAACATCGACCGGGCAGAGGTGGGCAGCCCCAACGCCGCTGTCGCCCCCACATGCCTGCTGCCTTGAAAGTCCCCTCCTCCCTCCGTCCCGCACGTCATGATGCTCCACGCGAAGTCGTGCACTTGGATGTGTTGTGTGTGTGCGTGTGCGAATTTCGAATTTCATGAATCGAGCCAGCTTGGATCACATGCGCCGGTGCGTTGCAGAGTACACCTCCGTGGCCCCGCGAGAGCACCTCGCTCGGGAGGAGCGTGGCCTCCCGCCAGAGCAGCGGCGGCGGCCGCTGCCCTTGCCGCCAGCGTTCCTCTTCGGACGGCTGCGCTGGGCCTCGAGTCCTCGAGCCCCGGGGGCCCGCTGCGACAAAACGAGGGAGGGAGGGGGGGAGGGAAGGTCAGGTCAGGTCAGATCAGGAAGTCCTCGGAAGCTCCTCGTGAGAAGGCTGCCGGGGGAGTGGAGCACTCAAGCCCCAGCCCAGGGGAAGGAAGGAGGAGGAGGAGGACGTCTCCCTTTTTGTGAGGGTGCGTGGGCTTCGGGCTTGTGTCTTCCTGGTGGCTTCCGGGGGTCGGAGCTCCTCGTCGCCACTGTCCCCATCCCGCTCTGTCTCGCCTGTTTTCCGAGTGCGCGCTTCGACCTTCCCTGCGCTTCGACCGACCGACCGACCAAGGAGCAGGAGGGAGGAGGAGGAGGAGGAGGAGGAGGAGGAGGAGGAGGAGGAGGACGAGAAGAAGGAGGAGGTGGAGGAGGAGGACGAGAAGAAGGAGGAGGAGGAGGAGGAGAAAAAGGAGGAGGAGGAGGACGAGAAGAAGGAGGAGGAGGAGGAGGAGGAGGAGGAGGAAGACGACGATGGCGATGCCCCATGCCCGCCTCCCTCCTCCCCAGTGGCGCCCGCCGGCGGCACCCCCCAGCACTCCCCGTGGGGGGCAGGCCTGCTCGGCGCCGTGCTCGGCGCCGGCGCCGCCGCGCGCAGGAGGCGCTCGGGGCGGCCTGCAGGGCGGCCTGCAGGGCGACCAGACCCAGACCTCCGACGCATTGAAACAACCAAGGCAAAAGTTTTTCTTGATTTTCGGCCTCTGGCGGCCCTCGCCGGGCCCCGGGACCGTCAAAAAACGACTCAGGATGAAAAGCCGGTCCTGGGGAATGGGTCGAGACTTCCGGGGACCCAGCATTGAAAACATCACGACATCGGATCTCTGGGTGAGTGCAGTTTCGCTCTGCATGTGTCCTTACATTTCTGTGGCAGCTTCGTGTCGCGCAGTCTGCCCATCGCGCGCCAGGCCTCGGGGCGGCCCCCGCAGAGCCCCTTGCAGCAGGCTGGCCTGCCTTGCCCCAGGTGCTGCCTTCCGCAGGGAGCATTGCTGGGCGCGGCCATCTCCACGCCAGGGTTCAGTCGGGCCTGTCCCTCTACAGGAGGAATCTTCCAAAACAGTCCAAACATAGTCTGGGGACGGTTTTTCTATTGTTTTTGGCATTTTGAGTTTTTGGGGGTATTAGTTGTTCGTCCAAAATCCGCCTGTAGGGGGACATGCCCGACCTAACGCCAGGGCCCCGGGGGGCGTTGGTCCTGGAAGTGTCCCGCGTTGGCTGTGGCACTGCGTCCCAGGCTCCACGCCAGGGCCCCATAGGCGGCCCACGCGGGCGGCAGTGTGCGGTGCTGTCTCGTGCTGCCCCTGCGCTGGCCTCCCGCGGGGAGAGTGCTGCCCGGCGTGTCCAGCTTCACGCCAGGGCCCCGAGCGGTCACGCGGGGCGAGAGGAGCGCTCCCGATGAGCCCGCAGTGTCGTGCAGTTGTCCCTGCGCTGTCACGCGGGTCTTCCCGCGGGCTGCTGTGTGGGTTGTCCCGAGGGTTGTCCCGTGGATGTCCCGTAGGCTGTCCCGTGGGTTGCCCCCGTAGGTTGTTTCACGGGTTGTCCAGTGGTGTCCCTGTGGGTTGTCCCGTGGATGTCCCGTGGTTGTCATGCGCGTTGTCTTTTGGTTTGTTTCGTGGGTGCTCCAGTGGTTTCTCCGTGGGTGGTCCCGTGAATATCCCCTGGTTGACACGTGGATTGTTCCCCACATCCTGAGTGGGGTTCTTGTTTTCCCAGAACGTCCTCTCCTCCTCCTCCTCCCGCTTCCTCCACCATCCCATACTGTATCATACCATGCCAATACCATGCCACTCCATACCATACCTTACCATACCATACCATGCATCCACCATCCCATACCATACCATGCCTTTCCTCACACCATGTTATTTATCAGGTGTCGTGCCCCTCCCACCCCTCCAGGGAGGCCCCGCCTGAGCGAGCAGGGTATTCGCACACCATGTTATTTATCAGGTTTCGCGCCCCTCCCACCCCTCCAGGGAGGCCCCGCCTGAGCGAGCAGGGTATTCGCACACCATGTTATTTATCAGGTTTCGTGCCCCTCCCACCCCTCCAGGGAGGCCCCGCCTGAGCGAGCAGGGCATTCGCACACCATGTTATTTATCAGGTTTCGTGCCCCTCCCACCCCTCCAGGGAGGCCCCCTGCCTGAGCAGGGTATTCGCAGGGTATTCGCACACCATGTTATTTTCGTGCCCCATCCTCCAGGTGAGCGGGCAGGGTATTCGCACACCATGTTATTTATCAGGTTTCGTGCCCCTCCCACCCCTCCAGGGAGGCCCCGCCAGAGCGGCAGGGTATTCGCACACCATGTTATTTATCAGGTTTCGTGCCCCTCCCACCCCTCCAGGGAGGCCCCGCCTGAGCGAGCAGGGTATTCGCACACCATGTTATTTATCAGGTTTCGTGCCCCTCCCACCCCTCCAGGGAGGCCCCGCCTGAGCGAGCAGGGCATTCGCACACCATATTATTATCAGGTTTCGTGCCCCTCCCACCCCTCCAGGGAGGCCCCACCAGAGCGGGCAGGGTATTCGCACTCCGTGCCCCTCCCACCCCTCCAGGGAGGCCCCGCCTATTCGCACACGATTTATCAGGTTTGCAGGGCCTGATTCGCACACCATGTTATTTATCAGGTTTCGCGCCCTCCCACCCCTCCAGGGAGGCCCGCCTGAGCAAGCAAGGTATTCGCACACCATGTTATTTATCAGGTGTCGTGCCCCTCCCACCCCTCCAGGGAGGCCCCGCCTGAGCGAGCAGGGTATTCGCACACCATGTTATTTATCTGGTTTCGTGCCCCTCCCACCCCTCCAGGGAGGCCCCACCAGAGCGGGCAGGGTATTCGCACACCATATTATTTATCAGGTTTCGTGCCCCTCCACCCCTCCAGGGAGGCCCCACCAGAGCGGGCAGGGTATCCGCACACCATGTTATTTATCAGGTTTCGCGCCCCTCCCAACATTCCAGGGAGGCCCCGCCAGAGCGGGCAGGGTATTCGCACACCATATGATTTATCAGGTTTCATGCCCCTCCCACCCCTCCAGGGAGGCCCCACCAGAGCGGGCAGGGCATTCGCACACCATATTATTTATCAGGTTTCGTGCCCCTCCCGCCACTCCAGGGAGGCCCCGCCAGAGCGGGCAGGGTATTCGCACGCCATATTTTATTATTAGGTTTCGTGCCGTTCCCGCCCCTCCAGGGAGGCCCCACCAGAGCGGGCAGGGTATTCGCACACCATGTTATTTATCAGGTGTCGTGCCCCTCCCACCCCTCCAGGGAGGCCCCACCAGAGCGGGCAGGGTATCCGTACACCATATTATTTATCAGGTTTCGTGCCCCTCCCACCCCTCCAGGGAGGCCCCACCAGAGCGGGCAGGGTATTCGCACACCATATTATTCATCAGGTTTCGTGCCCCTCCCACCCCTCCAGGGAGGCCCCACCAGAGCGGGCAGGGTATTCGCACACCATATTATTCATCAGGTTTCGTGCCCCTCCCACCCCTCCAGGGAGGCCCCGCCTGAGCGAGCAGGGTATTCGCACACCATATTATTCATCAGGTTTCGTGCCCCTCCCACCCCTCCAGGGAGGCCCCACCAGAGCGCAGACAAGAAGCAATGGAACCCCGTAACATCTTTATGTGGGAAACTCCGTTAGCATAATTTTGTGGGTGATTCGTGGGAAGTTCAGCGGTTTCCCCATGAGCTGTCCCGTGGGTTGTCTCGTGGTTATCCTGTGTATTGTTATGTGGGTTGCGGGCCCGTCGATTCGCGCAAGGCTTTCCCATAACGCATGACCCTGATGCCTGAAACTCGAGTAATGGGATACAAGAGCCTTGTAAAGAAGTTGAGTCAGACTTGATTATGAATCATCTGCTAGCCGCACTCCCGTTTTGTTCGAGCGATCGAGTGCAGTGTCGCCGTGAAGCGGGGAACGTCCCATGCCCGCTCCCTGGACCATCGCGAGTTCGGCAGTCTGGAATCAGAGGGATCAATTGGCCAGGATGGTTAAAACATGCCTCCAGTAGGCAGGCCTGGTCTCGGAGGGGGGGCTGTCCTTTTCCAGTCGCCCTTGCTCCCAGTGTCAGTCGACAAACGCGGGGCCCATCTCGATCCGATTCAATATTGATTCCGACATGCCCGATCTGGCTCGATTCTGGTACTTCAACGACTTGGTGGGGCCAGATGATTGCATGGCGCCATTGTGTATTTTGGCTCGGCCGATCCGATTCGATTTCTCCTAGACAACGTAGACCGATCCGACGCGGTGCACGTTCCAATCCGAGCCGATTTCTCAGTTCGGCGACGACTGATCCTGCAAACGCGGTCCCTCAGGAAATCGTGATGGGCGTGGGATCTCAGAATTCCGCCGGATGTCCAAACAGGTGGCACCAGGCCGATTCAGAAGTTGCCTTCATGATTCAATGCGGCTGGCAACTTAGGAGGAAGGTGAGTCTGGAGGTCTGGAGGAGGGGAGGGAGCGGGTAGCACATGGTCGCCCCAGGATGGAGACCATGGATAGCTGAGCGGCGTGCTTTGGGCGTGCTCTCTGTTAGGATCCCGGCTAATGTAGGGATCCTGGTGAAGTTGCCCAATGCGACCGTTCAACGCACACCTTTCCCTCCCGCAGTCATCCAATGAATGTATGCTTCGGGAACGACAGCGCTGGCAAGTTCCAGTATGAGTTTTCTGGTCGAGGCAATCAGCGATATTACCTACATATCGTGTTGTCCGTGGTTTGGGCGCTTCCAGGCCGGATTTTTCGCAGAACGTTCTCCCAGGTGTCTGTGTCGCCATGGCGTGTGAAGACCGTATTTGGTGATCTTTACACATACTTTGTGCGTGATCGTTTTCTCTTGGTTTACTCGTCGCCGGCTCTGGATGTAGTCCAGGCACTGTGCTGGTGTAGTTTAATTCGTGGTGCAGAGGAGCCTTCTGTTCCCTTGGAAGCCAATGGGCCCGCGGGAATAGATTTGCAGTGTCTTAGGGATGGCATCACGTGTTGGCTTGCATGTGTAGGTAATTCCAGTAATGGCTCCGTTCCATTGAATCTCGTGGACTGCGAGTGACTGCTGAGCAGATCGCGGCGCAGTCCAGCGCGAAAAGTGGATGGGATGGATAAGGCAAAGTGGAATAGTTGTAAGTCGGGCGCGTCTTTCTACAAGAGGAATATTCTAGAATAGCAAAAAAAGTACGGGGACGTTTTTTGGACTATTACTGAGCACGTGCTGGTTATTTGTTGAGCTTTGTGAAATTCATCGTCCAAAATCCCCTTGTAGGGGGACACGCCCGACTTAATGCTAGTCAGTGTCGATGTCGCGCTGGAGATAGAGAACGGCACGGCTCGTGGGTCCTTTTTCAGAGCTCATCTAGAGCTCGCCAGGGCAGGGACCCTTAGCGACCTGGTGGATTAGACTTCAGAGGAAGGAGAAGGTGCGCCCTGGAGCGCGAACCGGCAGAGTGTGCTTCAGAGGGCGATTCTCCAGAGAATGCGCCCCTGGTCCGCCCAGGAGGGGCTGAAGTGCATGGGGTCGGCAGAGGTCGCGCCGCATCGCCGATGCAGTGTGAAGCGGCATGGTCTGGAGACCGACTTTCTACGTCCCGATGGCACCGCTAGATCGCCGATGAGGTGTGATCTTCCAGTCAGAGGTGCTCCGGCCCACTTGGGCGGCCTTCAGCGCCTCATAACTTCAGAGCGCACAGCAGATCGGGTGATGCTCGATCGACAGAAGAGGCTCCAGAAGGCACCTCGTACGCCCAGGGGCCCGAATCTGCGGAACGCGCCTCCGCGCCGAGGGCCGCTTCTCCCCACTAGATGAAAAGCCAGGGAGCGCACATTGCAAGAGCGCGCAGGGCGCACCACACGTGGAGGCATGTTCATCTCCATGTCTACCCGACCTTCCAGGGCTTCGCTCCTCCTGCGCGAGGTCGACAGGCAGCTCGGCCTGCCCAACAACGATGCCGCGGCTCATTTTCGTATGGCCTCACGCAGAGCCCGACGGCAGCCACGGCGGACGCTGAGACTGAAATTGGAGTGTGGCTGCCGAAATTCGTCAG